TTAGCAATAATCGCGCCTTGGATAAACCTCACTGGCTACGATATTGCCACTGCGCAAAGCTCTGGAGGATTTTTAACTGTTGTGGCTTAGGTGGAAAGAAGCAGATTCTTTGTGTAATATTGGGAAATAACTGCAAACAAGGATTGTTTTTTTTAATTTTTTTAATCATCTTATTGGGCATTCTTACATATATAATAACACTCCATAGTTCAATCACATCAAGCAGTATTGTACAATTGCTACCACAATCAGTTTCAAAACATTTTCTTTCTTCTTGAACTCCTTGATATCAGCACCTCTTTAACCCCTCCCTACTCCCCCCTCCCCCACAGAAAGCCTTATTTTTTCATTTTATTTTTGCCTATCTTACACCATTCAATGTATCCATTCACATACAATTCTGTTGCTCACTCCCCTCAAGAGGGGTTATACAATCAATAATGCTATCAGCTCCCATTCCCCCCGCCCCCCCATCCTCTTTCCATATCCTCAGGGAACTATTACTCCTGTTACTGTTTCTGAAGGGTTATCTACTTTGGCTTTCATGTACTGAACGATCTTTAATTTATCAAATGAACATATGCATGTCTAACATGATTAATGAGGTAAAACAAATAAAAACTCTAACAGTAAGGGGAGGAAATATTAAAAAACTAGAGGATAGTTATGTTTCATCAGTGCTATACTGCACCCTGGATTTATCATCCCTTCCGTGTGGCCCTTCTGAGAGCAACTGTCCAATTATCTTACAAGTGAGTTTTGGGTCTCCACTACATCCACGCCCCTTCACATAGATTTGGTTGCTTGTTTTTGAACTTCTGATACCACAAAGATTCTCTTTAGAACTGCCTACCGAGTTTGTACAAAACAGAGTAAGAGTTTGCAACCAAAGGGAAATAGAGTTAGTGTTGAAGGCCATTAAGACTCAGACTTGAAACGGCTGAGATATCATGACCCAGGTGTCAGTATCTGCTGTTTGCTTCTGCGGTTTGACCTTGAGACTAAGAAAAAGAACAAAGACGTATACGAATTCTGGGAAAACAGAATGTTTAATTTTTATCAAAGAATCGTTGACTTGGCAGAAAATAGAGTTTCTGATATACTGTCATAATAGACTAATTATACCCCGGGTTGTTTCTGCATGTATAAAAGGAAGATGTAGAATAAACTCGGGCTTCCGTATTCACTGTTGCCCTCCCAATACTTTCTGCCTCTCTTCTTCCTTAATCCTCACTCCCCCTTTCAGGACCATTCGACTCGTCGGCAGGCTCCGACAAGTTAGAGGCTACCATAACTTGTAGGATTAAAGTCTTTATTTTCTTGTTGGAACTTTCTTGCCTAAAATGTTTATGCTTATTATATCATGACCAATATTTGCCTTATTCCCAAAATGAGTTGGTGCACGTACAAACGTAACCAGTCTTCAACACCCCTTCTCCACTTTACTTTCTGGTCTTGTCTTCCTCCTCTCTTCCGGTCACACCGATTTCCTGGCAGTTCTTCCTGTCACAGAGACGTTTGCTTTTCCCTTTGTCTATTCTTCCCGAGATCATCCTTTGAATCTTTCACTTCCCGACTATAAAGTCAACTTTTCCTAAGGCCTTCAATCTAGCTACAGGAACACCCCCCACCCCCACCCCAGCCCTGCCCCGGAGGATGCTTAGGCGGTACCCACTAGGCCTGCTGTTTTGAGCCCCCGCAGCCATATCCCACCCGATGACTTCCAATGGGTGGGAAGCACCGGGAGCTGAAAGCCAAGAGTCTCTAAAACCAAAAACACCCTTGTCCTCCAGTCCACGCGGGCAGTGACCCTATGTAACGGAGGACAACTGCCCCTTGCAGGGATGACATGCTTATGGAAGCAGACTGGCACATCTCTCTTCCATTTGGGGGTTCAAAGGGCGGACTGTTCACGTAGCAGCTGAGCACTAACGAAGACTTCACTAGTGCTCTCTAGGGGGTCCTCAGCCAGCTCCCGCAGGCCTGGCGGCGTAGTGACTTGGGGGCGGCCACCGGCAAGGCCAGCAGTTCCCAATCACCACCTGCTGTGCAGGACGAAGATGAAGCTTTCTGTTCCCGTAAAGACTGGCGGTCTCGGCAGCTCTACCCTGTCTTGTAGGGTCATCACCGGTCGGAATCGACTCAAGGGGAGGCAGCGTGGGCGGGCGGCCCCCAAAGGTCTAGGGCGGGAGCCGGCGAGGAGGCGGGGCAACCGCGGGCGCGCTCCCAGTGACGTCACGGGACGGCCCCGCGTCGTCGCGCGGCCTGCCGCCCAATCACCGCCCGGGGGTGGAGCTTCGGGCGCATCATGGCGGCCGGCGGGGCCCGCCCCTCTCTCTCCGTGAGTGTTGCCGCCCTTCATCCCTTTTGAAATTGTGCTGGGTTTTCTGTCTTCGGCCGTGGCCGTGGCCGTGCCCTCGGCCCTCTGGCCGCCGTGGCCGCCCTGGCCCCGCGGAGGGGGGCCTGCCTGGCAGTCCCTTCCCACCCGCCTCGCTGGCTCCGTGCGCGTGGGACCTCGGGGGCTCCATCCCGCCAGGAATCCGTCAGCCCCCCGGTGGAGGTGGTAGCAGGATCCCAGGTTCCTGGAAGGATCCCTGCCGCCGCTGTAGGGGAGTGGGGAACTGATCATTAGGAAGCAGGGGTCTTTGGAGAACTCAGGAAGGTCAGCTGAGTGGTGGTTGCGCCGACCTAACTCCCTGGACAGTGTAGCGGAGCCGCGGCTTTCATCGACGGGTGATTAGTCTGATAAGGGCTTGGGTTTCCTCTGGTGGCCGTGAGGAGCGTGCATCGGCGGGAACCGATTTGAAGACGGAGGTTGGAAGGAAGCGAGAGGCGTTGGGCACCCCAACCGTGGCGTTGCGGAGGTGAAGCCAGTGCACAGAGGTATCAAGGCGATCAAATGTAAAAGACGTGGAGACGGACATCCCAGTTTCAGGGTCCAACAACTGTTTGGTTAGGTTGCCGTCTACTACGTTAGTAAACATTGAAGGAGGCGTGCGTTGTTTTTGTTTATTTTTAAAGTATTAAGTATTATTTAAAGTATTAAGAATATACGCCAGTTGAAGGATTTTCATATGCACAGTTCAACGACACTGATTCATTGAGTGGGACGACCATTCTCACCCACCCATCCTGAAGCGTTTCTTCCCCAGGAACATAAGCCTGCTGTCCTCTAAGTCTCCTACCTAATCTTTCAAGTTGCTGTCGTCAATTTGATAGGAGTGAGTTTGGGGAGAACTTCAGGGTCTGGTTTCTATAGGTCAGCCAGGTGGAGAAGCAAGAACAACTCAGGAGAGAGATCTCAGCTAGAGCAGAGACTTGGGACAAATCACCATCGAAGATGGCCATTAAAGCAGTTGCGATCAATGAGGTCCTTGAGTATATCAGGTTCTCAAACTTCAGCCTACATCAATTTTATTATCAGGGGAGCTTATTTAAGATACCCCTGTTTCTTCTTTTCCCCCAATTCACGACATGACAACCAAATTAATAGTTGTACCACTCAATACACCAAACAAAAAAACCCAAACTCTACTGTCCTGGGGTCCCTGCTGACTCATGGCGACCCTTTAAGACAGAGTAGAACTGTCCCTGTGGGTATCCGAGACTTAACTCTTTGCGTGAGTAAAAAGCCTTATCTTTCTTCTGTGGCATGACTGCTGTTAGCACAATCCACTATGCCACCGATGCACCTCTTCAGTACACCATATCTATGAATTTGTATTTCTAACAAAACTTGAGTCTGATTCTAAAGTAGTGGTACCACTTTGAGAAGCAGTGGGATTCCAAGAACCAATCAATGGATGGGCCATCAGGAATCCAACCCCAAACTCACTGCCATTGAGTTGATCCCAATCAGAAACCCTATGTAGGGGTTTGAATCTTTACAGAAGTAGGCGGCACCCACCATTTCGCTCAGCAGCCAGTGTGTTTGAACCACCCCCCTTGCCATTAGCAGTCGAACAGTGGCACCAAGACTTCTAGAGGAACCGAGAGGAAGCTGTAATGGCTTAGAAGTAGAACTGGTGATCCAGAAGGACAAACATCCTTTCCCTAAGTGCCACTGTAGTTACGAATAAAAAAAAAAAGTGTTGTTTTTTTAAGTTAGTTAGCAGTGAGACTAGTCCAAGTTAGTTTCCCTCTCTAGTGTTTTTTCCCTTCTCCCCAACAATTTCTTTTTACATTTAAAATACAAATACCAGAAAAGTCTAAATTACCCATATTACATGATTTTACTTTATTAGTTATAAAGGAGCCCTGGTGGTGCTGTCAGGGAAGTGTTGAACTGCTAACCACAAAGTTGCCCGTTCAAACCCACCAGCCACTCCAAAGGGAGAAAGATAAAGGCTATCTTGCTCTTGTAAAGATTTATAACCGTAGGGTGGAATCTAACCTCTCAAATAGCCAAGGAGGCCTCCGTGGGGGCATGGCCTTCTCCTGAGGATGCTGGGGACTCTGGTATTCCTCCCTGGAGGCGGGAGACACTCTTCTTTGTCTTCCTGCTGACACATGGAGCAATGCTAGAACCCTGGAGCTGGAGGAGCCACGTGGAGACCCCTGCCGGAGCTGAGATGCTTCCACCACCACTGGATCCACAATACTTTCCACCCACTGGCCTGTGGTCGTCCTGCACTCGGCATCATTGCATGTTTTGCATGAGTCTGAAGAATTTACAGACTGGTGCTGGACATATGGGCTAATCTTGGACTTAGGGACTTGATCTGGGCTAGGATGTTTTCTTAGTATAAAATTGCTCTTTAAAGCTCTTTCTTTGATACATATACATGTCAATAAATTTGTTTCTCTAGTCAACCTGAGCTAAAGAAAAAAAAAAGATCTTTGACCTCAGAACCCTCTGTAGAGTCACTGTAAGTTGGAATTAACTAGCTAGCATTGGATTTGAGGGGCTCTTTTTGGTTATTAGTTAAAAGATTTAGGTCCTCTGTACTTGGCTCTTTCTACTAGGCTTGTCTCTTTCTAACAAGGCTTTCTACTGTAAAGAGTTCCTGTCTCAGGAACCCTCAAGGGCAGTTCTACCCTGTGCTATAGGGTCGCTAAGAGCCAGAATGGACTGGATGGCCGTGAGTTTGGTTTGGTTATGACACATTCCAGGAGCCCGGGCCATGTAGTGGGCGATGGCTTTGAGCTGCTAGCTAATTGCCAGGTCAGCAGGTCAAACCTACCATTCACTCCATAGGCAATTGAAGTTCATAAAGATTGACAGGCTTGGAAACCCAAAGGGGCAGTTCTCTTCTGTCCTATAGGGTCACCCTGAGTATACGTCAGAACTGCTTAGATGGCCGTGAGTTTGGTTTCAGGGTTTATGTTTATATATGTGTGTATATATGTATAGATTTTGTTGTTGAAAATACATGCAACAAAATATATACCAACAGTTTTTGCTACACGTACGATTCGGTGATATTGATTACATTCTTGAAGTCATACAACCCATCTTACCTGTTTTTAGTTCCTCTTTCATGAACCCAAGCGCATTGTCCCCCACTTGACCCTTGGCTAAGGGCACGTCTGCAAAGGAGCCCTCATGGTGTAGTGGGCTGTGCACTGGGCACTAACTGTAAGGTCAGCAGTTAAAGCCAAGCCCCTCCCCCGGCATGTCTGTAGGAGAAAGATAGAGTTGACTGTTCTTGTCAGGATGTCCAGTCTCAGACGTTCTGGGGAGCAGCTCGGCCCTGCCCTATAGGGATATTATTAGGAATTGGAATGGACTCAATCACTGTGATTTTTTTTTTAATGCATCCAGAATCTGTCAGATATTTAAAGGTGGTCTCTGTCTTAGGAAGCCCACATTGGAGCTGGAAATACAGAACAGGAAACAAATGTAGTTGGGTTCTATATTCCATGCATTTAGCAGGTGGAAATGCAAGGATATACCCTAGACTAAATAAACTATAAAGGGGATATATATATATGTATGTATATATATACATATATATATATACATACTGTGCAGCACTCTGTCTTATTTGGTAAGGGAAATTTAAAGGATCCCCCCACCACCACCATGGTGATCTTGACCAGCCTTGCTTTTCAGCTGCAGACTGTATAACCAGATCACCTGCCGTCCATGAGAAACAGTTATACCTGGAGATGATTGATCTTATTTTCTTGTTAATAATTTTATTGGACTGGAAACATAGAAAATCCAGGGTGGATGTTCCCTTCAGGACCAGTGGTGTGAGTGGTGATCTGGGAGCATAGAGGGAGAGTGGGTTGGAAAGAGGGAACCGATTACAAGGATCTACATGTGACCTCTTTCCTGGCGGACGGACAACAGAAAAGTGGGTGAAGGGAGACATCGGACGGGGCAAGATATGACAAAATAATCATTTATAAATTATCAAGGGTTCATGAGGGAGGGGGGAGCAAGGAGGAAGGGGAAAAAAAGAGGACCTGATGCCAGGGGCTTAACTGGAGAGGAAATGTTTTGAGAATGCTGAGGGCAATGAATGTACAAATATGCTTTACACAATTGATGTATGTATGGGTTGCGATAAGAGTTGTATGAGCCCGTAATAAAACTATTAAAAAAATTTTTTTAAATAATAATTGTATTGGAGATGATTCATCTTCATGGTGGTCTGTGTGTGCAGACCCAGGAAGGAGCCGCAGAGAGATAGCCAGGCTGGCTGGAGGGGGGAAGGATCGGTCCAGGCTTTTCATACCAGTGCTCCTCCAGCCCCGCGCAGCCTCAGTGGAGGCCTGTGTGTCTCTGCTGCTGACCAGCGTCCAGCGGAGCGTCCAGACTAAGGCTGGGGAGAAGGCACTTCGGAGAAGCACCCTGGGCAAACCCCTCATGGATCCCAACAAGCCAATCCCATTCCGCCGGGGGGTTGCCAGGCGTCGGGGGCCTGCTGTGTGGCAACTAGCAAGGGGCTTGCTAGGCAGAGAAAAGGCTGAGCTCGAAGCTGAATGGCCTCCCGTTTAAGGGCCGGGACCCTTTCCTTGATTCGGGAGCCCTGGTAACATGAGTGGTTAGGTGTTGGGCGGGTCGACCGCCAGCCGCATCGGGGAACACATGGGATTTTGCAGTCCCACAAAACAGAAACTCGTGGGCAGTTCTACCCTGTCTCACAGGGTTCGCGTGAGTGGGAGTTGAGTTTGAGTTTTGCCTTTGCACTGATGGCTGGAACTGTTCTCCTCTGGGGGGCATGAGATGGTAGCTGCTATTGATGACTTCGAGGCCAATCTCCCCTACCCCTGGTCTAAGGCGACTATTGATTGGATTAAGACTTGGGAGGTTTCTTCCGATCCTAAACCTCGTTACTTTTCATCCGCATCTCACATGCATTCTTTGTGCCCCGCACCCCACCCCACCCCCATTCTCCTATCCCTGTATTCGGAAGTGTCGTAGTGGTGGTGTGTGGTAGCTGTATTGGGGTGCTAACTGAAAGGTCAGAAGTTCAAAGCCACTAGCTATGCCTCCGGAGAAAGATGAGGCTTTCTACTCCCATAAAGATTTACAGACTCAGAGACCCACAGGTGCAGTTCTACTCTGTCCAATAGGGTCAGCAAAACTGACCTGATGGCTGTGGGTGTTTACTCCTTTGTTCTTCCCCAACAGTTTCTCTGTGGGCAAGGTGGTCATGAAGGCATTTTAACCAGGCGCACTCTCTTTAGGAGCAAGCCTGGCTGGAGACGGCCCAGACCTTCATCCGAGAGACCCTGTGCCCCGTCGGCGAGGAGCCCAATGTCCAGTTGCAGGAGATGGTAATTGACTGCGTGAAGACCACTTGGTTATCCCGAGGACAGGATCAAGGCTTCACACTGCCCCTCAGCTACAGGTAAGGAAGGGCCGGGGCTGGCCGAAGGTTGGATTTGGGTTTGAAAAGGAAATACCTTGTCTTCCCTTATCTCGTACTACTGGAACAGAAACTCCGTAACTGAGTGGCCGCAGTGAACAGAGGTTTATTTTCTCACAGTTTAGGTGGGTAGAAGGCCGAATTCAGGGCTCCAGCTCTAAGACGAGGCTCTCTGTCCCTTCTGGGGAAGGTCCTGGCTTTTTCTCGGCATCCGTTCCTTGGTAACCCTCTTGTGCCACGACATCTCTCCCCCCTCATGTCGTTTCACTTCATCTGCCGTTTCATCTACCTCCAAAGAGATTCCTTTCAAAACCCAACGCTACCCTAACAGAGAAAACACATTGCCAAATGGGATAAGAACCACAGCTACGTTGTTGTTGTTGTTGTTGTTGTTGTTAGGGGCCAGCAGGTGAGTTCTGACTCCGAGCCACTGTGTGCACAACAAAACGAAACCTTGCCCAATCCTGCCCCATCCTCACAATTGCTGTATTTGAGCCCGTTGTTTCAGCCACGGTGTTAACCCTCTTCGTCGAAGATCTTCCTCAGTTTAGCTGCCCGTGTACTTTACCAACCAGGATGTCCTTTTCCAAGGCCTGGTCTCTCCTGAAGGAGCCCTGGTGGTGCAGTTAGGCATTGGGCTGTGTTCTGTGAGGTTAGCAGTTCAAATCCACCAAAGAGGAGGGTTTCTGTCTCTGTAAAGAATTGCAGTCTCGGAAACTCACAGGTAGCCTGGTCCAGTAGGGTCACTATGAGTCCTTTTGAGATGAAGTCACTTTTAAGGAGCATTTTGTCTGTACATCTTCCAAGACAGATTTGTTTGTTTGTTTTAGCAAACAAATTCCCTTGTTCTGTTAGAACCCCTGGTCTTGATCCAGGTACAGGTTCTGCCCGAGCACAGTGAAGTGTTCTGAGATTCCCATTCTTCGCAATGCTACCCATAGTCTGTTAGGATTCACAATCGAATGCCGTTGCATGGTCAGGAAAACACAAGTAACCCCCTTCCTGGCATTCTTTGCTTCCACCCAGTATCCATCCAGGGATGCCAGCAGTGATTGCAATATTTCACATCCTCTTCAGATCTGACCTGAATTTTTGGCAGCTGGTGTAATATGCCAGTAGTTTGGGATTACCATAGCAGACTTTACTTGCGTGTGATATACCAATTTATACACATACCAGCATACCATGTCTATCTTCAGCTTTTTCTGAATCTGATACTTTGGGTTTTTTAAAAATGATTGTTTATTTGATAGTAAAAGGTATTTTGTTATTTAATTTCAGAGTGAGTTCTAAGAGCACTCTTACCTTAAACCTTTTCTTTTTCTCCTCTTTGACTCTTCTCATTGTTGGACTACAGCTCCTTTTTCCCTACATCTCTCACTCATGTCCATGATGCTTAGGCTCCGTTCATTGTTTACTTAAACATAGACCGAAACCTCGTGTGAAGTGGTCTTGCTAGTGTGCAAAAAGCCTGGGGACTGGCAAGCTGCGTGTCAACTCATGGTCGTGGAGGGCGTGGTGATTGCCCTGAAGTCCCCTTGGCAGCAAGGGTAGACTCGACGAGCCGGAGGCTTTAAGGCAGCTGTGTTGTGGGACTGTACAGGCTTCTCCATTCTCTGGCTCCTGTCGTGTTCCTGTTTCATTTTCTGGGGTCAGAACTATTCCCCACACCATTTTGTTCAAGGTACAATTCAACACTCCCCCCCCCCCCCCCCCCCCCCCCACGCACACACTTGCCTGCTTCCCTCCTTTCTCCTTCCTCTTCTACCTCTTTCTTCTCTCCCTCCTCCTTCTCCTTCCTCTCTCTGTCTCTTCTTTCCCTAGCCTTTGCCCCCAGGCCGCCCTGTATTTCTATAGGCGCCTACTTTCCCCCTCCCTCCAGTCAAACTCATCTCCTGGCCTGTGTGCCCGACTGACTTTTCCTGATGGGATGTGTTGGGGAGCAGGGTGACCTAGCTTTGCACGGCCTCTGTTCCCTTCCCTCTACAGTTTCGTCTCGGTGCGGGACCTCAGGACCCACCAGCGCCTCCCATGCTGCAGCCATCTGTCTTGGAGCAGTAGCTCGTATCAGGCTTGGGCCCAAGAGGCTGGACCAGATGGGGACCCCCTGCCCCGGGAGCGACTGCTACTTTTAGGGACACTGACAGATCTATCAGGGGCCTTGGACCAGGAAGGCAGGGATGGGATCCTCTGTGTGAAAGATAACACTGGTCTCCTGGGCTGTGAGGTAAGTAAGGAGGGGCAGTCTGCTGCCTCGGCCCTTCAAGAATGGTGTCTAGGAGCAAGGCAGCAGGGTCGATTGGCTGGTAGGGTCCTGGTTAACCCTTGACCCTGGTCTTGTCTAGCTCCTAGACCTGGACCTTTCTTGGTTGGGCCACCTGTTCCTGTTCCCCAGCTGGTGTTACCTTCCTCCTGCCAAGTGGAATTCCTCAAGGGAAGGGCACTTGGAGCTTTGGGCTGCCCCCGTGCCAGTGTTCCCCTTGACCATCAGTCCTGGCCCTGCCACACCTGTTCCCGTCCTCTACCCAGAGATTGCTTCCCGCCTGCTCAGGCACAGGTAAGCCTGAGATGGGAGTGCTGGGAGACTTGGGAGCTGCGGGCAGGTCAATGGCAAGAGAGAAAGGAGGGTTTTAATGTAGATGGAATGTTCCGCAACGAGGGGACTGTAGGGCTTCTCAGGAGCCCCAGCTGCTAACCCCAAGATCAGCAGCTCAAACCCCCCAGCCGCTCGCGGGGAGAAAGAGGAGGCTTCTTACTGCCAGAAAGATTCACAGCTTCAGCCACCCCCACGGCAGCCATTCTGCCCTGTCCGTGGGGCTCTGCGGGTCAGAATGGACTGGACGGCAGAGTGGGTTTGGGTTTTTAGGATGGGGCTTCCGAGAAAGTTAAGAGCAAAGCCCTTCAAGAGAGTTAGGACCGGGAGAGTTAGAAGGAGGTTCTTTTTAGAGTGTTAGCTCTAGGCCAGGGAAGTTTTACATCATCGTCCGATTATTCTTTGCACAGAAGGGATGACATTTGTAGGGAAAAGAAGAAAATTAAAAAATTAAAAACTAGAGGAGCTAATACCAAGGGCTCGAGTAGAAAGAAAATGTTTTGAAAAAGATGAGGGTAACATATATACAAATGTGCTTGATACAATGGATGTATGGATTGTTGTAAGAGCCCCCAATAAAATGATTTATTTTAAAAATACCCAACTCCCTCCCTCCTCCCTTCTCTAGAAACAAGGTTAGAGATGTGCGGCGAAATCTGGCCGGGAAGCTGGTTCGACTGAGTGCTCTGGTGAACAGTCCCACGAAAACTTACTTTGTGCTGTTTCTTGGTGGTTCATCCCCAGGTGTCAGCCCTGTGCCCATCCTTGTGCAGGTGCGGACTTGGGTCCATTCAGTAGCAAGGGGATGTGGGAGGATGGGCAGCATTCTAACAGGACAGACAGCATCGTCTGAGAGAGCTGTGGGGAGGGCTGCTTTCTGAAGCAGGACTGTTGAGGGAAGTGATGTTCTCTGTGTACAGGTGGTGGGCAGTGGGCTTTCTTGGCTGCTGGACGATTCATTTGAGTAGACAGTTTTTGTGTCCTAGGCGAATCCGGACAGACGGCCATTGATGAGCTAGGAGTAGCCCAGGAAAAGCCTTAGCGTAACACCCTAAGGCAGCGGTTCTCAACCTGTGGGTCGCAACCCCTTTGGGGGTCAAACGACCCTTTCACAGGGGTTGCCCAATTCATCACAGTAGCAATATGACAGTTATGAAGTAGCAACGGAAATAATTTTATGGCTGGGGTTCACCACCACATGAGGAACTGTATGAAAGGGTGGCGGCATTAGGAAGGTTGAGAACCACTGGCCTGAGGAATTGAATACCTGCTCTTTTAAAAACTCAGTAAACTGATCGTTCAATCTTTTAGACCCTGGTGATGGTATTTTACAATGATTGATCTTTACATTAGCCATAATGTTACGTCTCATACACTTAGTTGAGTAAATGTTTCAAAAGTACTCAAGACAGTTAAAGGACGGAAACGCTATCTTAGAACGGGAAATGGGAATCTAATAGCACTGCAAGAATTCTCAGAGCGTCTGTGCGCCTGTCTGTGCCGTCAGCCTGAAGTAGAATGAATGTCAAGAAATGAAAAATAGTAAAAGCCCAGTGTTTTCCTTTCCCGTTAGAAGTCAAAGGCTTAGAGCAGCGGTTCTCAACCTATGAGTCAAATGACCCTTTCACAGGGTCTCCCAATTCATCACAGTGGCAGAATCACAGTGATGAAGTAGCAACAGAAATAATTTTATGGTTGGGGGTTGCCACAACGTGAGGAACTGGATGAAAGGGTCGCAGCATTAGGAGGGTTGAGAACCCCTGGCTTAGAGGCTGCCCAGATTTCTGATCTTGTTCTCTTCTCCCTGAGTGAAAGAAGAGATGCTTTTTTTTCTTTGACAGCCTGTTTTAAGTCTCCTAGGGAGTTCTCTGAAGGGCGGGGTTGGCTCCTTCCTGTATTACATGCCAAGGGAGGGAGCGCTGAAACACACCTGAGTTTCTACAGATGGCAAGTCCTTCAAGTGCTTTGTAATCACCCTGGAGATTCTGTGTCGTCTTGTTTGACAAAGCAAACATTCATTCAAAATAATAAGTAAGTTGTCAGATACGTGGTGTGCCTAACGAGTCCCGTAATAGGGCGGTCAGAGTAAGCACCTTGATCAATTCAGAAGTACGGGATTGAAGACGACCCTATCCCCTGGAAGCTCTCCCCCAGATACGTCCGTCAGCAACTGCCAGTGCTCTGTGGGGGCGCTCGTGGAGAGGACTATTGATGGGCTGGCGAGAGGACGGAATTTGAGATCTGTTTCTTTAGGGACCCCTGGAATCTCTTCGTAAGAGAGGGTCTGGACTCGGAGACGATGCGAGAGCTGCCTTGCAAGGCTGTGCGGGGCGCAGAGGAGAGATGGCCAAGCAGTGGTGGCCCCCGCTGCGCACCAACTGTGGGGCGGTGGGGTGGCAGGGCTCCGTCTTCCTCCAGTGGGGTTTGCCTTAGAGATGAATTGGAAGGAACAGAGCTGTAGGGAGATGTAAAAAGGTAGTGAGGGGAGGATTTTGAGGAGAGGTATTCCGGTTCTAGACTTGAGCCTGGAAGGGAAGGAGCTGCGGGATTGCGAGATGGGCTGGCACAGTGATGGCTGCGGGGGGCTCACGCAGAGGGATGTGAAGGGGATGGCGCAGGGGCGGGGTGTCCGGTTCTGTTGTACTGAGGGGGACTGTGAGTCGGAGCTGACTTGCCAGCCCCCCTGAGTGAGAGGTGGGGATGTAAGCTTCATGAGTATAAAGGGAGAGGGGCGGAGAGCAGAAGCACCGATGGCCAGTCCGTTCGTCCGTCAGTGAAGCCATTATTCATTCCTTGCACCGGACAGTAGCACTGCTGTCTAATCCTGGTGACCCCGTGCATGCAGAGTAGAGCTGCTGCGGCGAGTTCAGACTACACCTGGGACGACAGGGGTGAGGATAGACACTCATAAAGCCTCAGGGACAGGATCACTGAGTCCAGATAAGGAGTGCTGTGGCATGGTGTGTTAGGCATCAGGTCAGCCACTCTGGGGGGCAAAGATGAGGCTGTCAGCTCTCATGAAAAGGTGACAACCTGGGAAACGCTCGGGAGAAATGTTCTCCTGCCCTGTGGGGTGGGGTGGGTCACTCTGAGTCGGAGTAAACTCGGTGGCGGCATTTTTTTGTTTACTTACTCAAGTCAGCTTGATTGCAGTGCTTGTACCAGTGGTCCTGCTCCCCTTGGGACGTGGTTGTCTGCTGTGTTCAAGAGGCAGCCTCAGTGTAGGGCGAGCTTACACAGACTACACGGAGGTCCAGTCATAATAGAAGGGGCTCTGGCTGAGGGGCAGCCTCCACGAGAAGTGGCTCATGCACCTGCTATCCTTAGGTCCCTGCCCAGCTGGTGTGGCACCGTGTTCTCCGGCCTGGTCAATCCTATGTGCTGACAGAGCTGCGAGTGTCCAAGATCCATGGTCACCATCACTGTGTGTGGACAACCAGTCCCTCCTCCCACGTGGCGCTGCTGAAACCAGAGTGTGTGCGGGAGCTGGAGCTGGAGCTGGAGCCGGAAGGACCCCTCTTGGAGGCTGGCGACAAGCCACCACCTGTGCCCAGTGACTCTCGGGACACCAATGAGAGGCAAGGTCTGGTCCAGGACTCAAAACTTTTATCATACGTGGTGAGCAGAAGGGCGAATCCCATGTCTCGGGGGTGGGCAGCTTGGGGCTTCAGAGAGGAAGCAGCAGGAGCCGCTGACCCGCTCTCCTCTGCCTGCAGGGCACCGTCACGGGCGTGCTCAATGAGCCCGCTGGCCTCTATGAGCTGGATGGGCAACTGGCGCTCTGTCTTGCCTACCAGCCATTCCACGGATTCCGGCGGGTGGTGCGCCCGGGAGTCTCTCTGGAGGTGTGTGAGGGACAGGGCTGGTGACAAAAAAAGACCCACCCAGCAACTTCTCTAACTCTATAGACTGGTCTTTTGGAGGTTTTGGGGGTGTTTGTTTTTAAGTAAGATGGGACCCTCTCTAACAAGAAAACCAAGTGTCCGGTGTCTTAAGTATGGACTCGGAGAGTACTGTTGGGAAGCGACTTCCGGATCAGAAGGGGCTCACGTCTGCTCAGCAGAACGCCTGTGTGACAGAAGGGCCTTCTGACTGGAAGAAGGGATGGTTGGAGCTGGCCCCGAGGTGTCGGGTGCAGAGTGCTCCCAGGTGGCCTGGTGGGGCACCTCCGCCACCCTAGCCTGCAGGGCACCAGGTCCTCAGGGAGGCGAGTGGAGCGGGTGGGGAAGTGGGTCGCCATGGCAGATGAGGCTCAGAGGCTAGAAGGGACTTGGAGACGCCCCGGCTGTCCCTCCCGGAGCCCGCAGTTCACCCTGCCTGAGGTCCTTGAGTGGGGGACGTCCCCCTGTCTTTTCACGTGTCCAATTTTTGTCTAGCTCAGCGATGTGCACCTGCTGCAGTCAGTGGGAGGAGGAACAAAAAGGCCTGTGCTCGCCACCTGCCTCGGCAGCGCCGTGCTCGTTCGGGGCTTCTCTCGTCAGAACCCCAAGATCCAGCTGGCGCGGCAAGCCCACGGGGCCTCCCTGTACATGCAGCTCCTCTGGGAACGACAATTAGGACTTCCCCTCTACCTGTGGGTCACCAGGGCCCTGGAGGAGCTGGCCTGCAAGTAAGGAGGATGGGGCTTTGGGGTGGGGAGTGGTGGAGGTGGGAGATTGCCTCCGTAAAGGAAGCGGATCCAGAAGAAACGTGGCCAGGAGGCGGTGGCCTTGTGCCTTTCAGGGCAGTGACACGGCCGCTTCCCCTGACCCAGGCTGTGTCCCCATGTGCTGCGGCACCGCCAGTTCCTGCAGCACTCCTCTCCCGGCAACCCCAACCTGGGGCTGCAGCTCCTGGCTCCCACCCTGGATGCTCTAGCCCTGCCATGCCCATGCAGCCCCATGCGGAACGCACACAAGGAGATCCTTGAAGAGCCTCATCAGTGTCCCCTCCAGAAAGTACGAGGGTGTGAGGGGCAGGGAGGGGGCCCAGCTAGTGCATCGGAAAGGCTGCCCAGGGGACCTGTGGGCCCCATGACCTGATTTCTGTTCTCTCTCACCAGTACACCCGACTGCGGGCTCCCTGTGCCTTCCCCACTCTGGCCAGCCTGGAAAAGGAAGGGCAGGCCAAGGCCTGGGACTCCTTTGACCCGAAGGCCCTCCTTCCCCTCACAGAGGCTTCCCACCTCCTCAGTTGCCAGCTCAACCACCGCCTGGCTTGGTCCTGGCTCTGCCTGTTGCCCTCTGCCTTCCAGCCAACCCCGGTACGTGGGGCTCCATCTGGGCTTCCTCCCGCACTGCCGGTGTTGTTCAGGCCACGGTCCTGTCTTTGTTTCTCTCCCAGTCATTTACTCTTGCGATGGTTAAGACTAGACGCAGGGGAAACCGTGCCCCAATTCCAGACGTGGCACATACAGTTCCGTGACCTTGATCATGCTCTGTGAGTCGTGTACCCCTTCTCACTTTCCTTTTCCCAGTTCCTCCCAGCGCATGTCAACCCCCTGCCTAATCCTTCCATTGATCCCCGCCAGGTAGACCTTGAAAGAGCAGAATGCTCAGGGCAGACACACTGTACTCGTTAAGCTAAACTGTTGTTTCTTTGAGTAAAGCTTCAGGAGATGTTTCTGATTTCTGGTTTAAAGGTTATCTCTGGGTAATAGTTTCAGGGTTCATCCAGCCTCCATGGTTCCAAAGAGTCTGAATTTCATGAGAATTGCAAATTTTGTTGTGCCTTACCCCCTTCCTGATCAGGAGTCTTCTATGGGATCTTCGATCAAAACATTCAGTCGTGGTAGCTGGGCAGAATCCATTTCTTGTGGCCTCCTGACAAAGGAGGCAGTTGTTCGTGGAGGCAGTTAGCCACACAGTCCATTTCTGTCTCCCATTCTCTTTTAACCTGTCCAGCCTTAGTTAAAGGAGCCCTGCTGGTGTAAGGGCTATGAGTTGGGCTGCTAACTGCAAGGTCAGCAGTTCGAAACCTCCCGTAAGAGTGACAGTCTTGGAAACCCACAGGGGCAGTTGTACCCTGCCCTATAGGGTGGCTAGAAGTCAGCATCCACTTGATGGCCGAGAGTGAGTAAGTTCTTGGGCCCTCTCCAATTTCTTCTCCTAAGACAGGGACACGATAGAGGTGGCGGTGGGGAATGCCCCTAGGACTATATTAAGCTTATTAAGCCTTCTCAGAGTTTGCCAAGTGCATATGAAATAAAACCCAAACTCCTCATTATGTCCTGTAAGGTTCAGTGTGGTCTCCTACCACTAACCTTAAATGTGTACCACTTTCTCTGCACTTTTTAATGTCTGCATTTCCCCCCCAAGTCTCTTTTTCCACATGAATAGAAATTCCACGAGGTCTGACGATGTCTTTTGTGTTCCCTTTGTAGCTCTGTCCCCTTTGTAGCTCTGTTGTTGAGCGTGCTGCCCGGCACATTGGGGGAGATGCGCAGTGTTTGTTTCAGACCGGGCCTTCTATCCTTGCAGGTTTTAGTCGGAGTTCTAGTGCCATCATCGCATAAAGGTTCTCTGCTGCTGCGGGACCAGAGTGGCTCCCTGTCCTGCCTGCTCCTGGACAAGCACTCGCAGCCCATCGCTGACCCTCAGCTCATAGGTACGGAGCCTGAGACAGGGCCCCTCCAGGGATTTGCTAGAATCCTGAAGCAGCATAAGCTAAACAACAATTTGGGGGGAGAAGTTTGGTAGATCTGCATTGGCCGCTTGAGGAAAAAAAAAAAAGCAAGGGATCCCTAGCCAGAACTACAGTTCCCAGCATTCCTTTCTCCCACCCTAGAGCTCAACATTGCAAACCAGGATCCCAAGCCTGGGTCCCATTCTTTGGACTTGCTGGGATTTTTAGACAGGGGCACCCTGGAGAGAAACGTTTCTTAAATATAGCCATGGGCACTTTAGGGGTGAGCTGAGAAAGGAGAAGCAAGGGTTAGTCCGCGTCAAGACTAGAGGCTGCCTCGAACATGCTGATGGACTGCTTTCTGTCTCGATCCCTCAAAGGTGGGCTCCGCTCGCGTTCTCAGGGGAGCAGACGGGCTAAGCAGCGAGCCCTGGGGTCTGTTCCACGCCCCAGCCCACAGTTCTCTTGCCAAAAGGAACCTCTCCTTCCTCCAGGCTGCGTGGTGCGGGCGGAGAAGTTCCAGGTGATTGTAGAGAGGGATGTCAGAAGCAACTTCCCATCCTGGAGGGAGCTGAGCCTGAGTGGCTTCATCCAGCAGCAGCAGGCCAGGTTGCGTCCTTGGGGTAGAGTCTGTGTGCACCCAGTCTGGGGGAAGGGGCAGTGAGTGGTGCGAGGGGTGCAATGTATCCTTGGACTCTCCCAACAGAGTCTATGTGCAGTTCTTTTTGGCCGATTCCCTGGTCGTGCCTGTGCCCAGACCCGTCCATCGCTCAAGCACCTCCTGCAGAGTTCCTCAGACAGAACCCACGGGCCAAGACAGGCCACACCAAGGACAGAGCCGGCTCTTCTGGCTTTCCCACAAGGAGGCCCTGATGAAGCGGAACTTCTGTATACCCCCAGGAGCCAGTGTGGTGGTGCCCAGGCCCACCCTCAGTTTCCATGTGTCGGGGAGGTGGATTGGGAACACCCAGAGGAAGGAGGGGACTGGATGGGGCCCGCCTGAGCCCAAGGGTGATGAGAACCAGGAACAAAAGGTGAACTGGGACTTCAGGGACGGACGGACGGAGGAGCAGCCCTCCTGTGGCCCAGCCCCTGACTGGGCGCCCCAGCTTCCTGCTCTGCCTCCTCTCAGGTGCTCCTCATCTTTCTTGGCTCATCTGTCCGCTGGTTCGAGTTCTTGCACCCGGGCAGAGTGTACCGACTTGTGGCTCCAGGCCCCCCAGTGAGTGCCCTCCTCCTGCATACTCATTCCCCGAATTCTTTCCTGGCTGGAGGTGTTGGGGAGGGTGAGCCAGGACCAGGCCCCTCTGGAGGATTCCGAGCAGAAGTGGAGATGTAGAGACAGAGAAGGCCCGTGTGTCTAAAGCGCTTCTGCCGCCAGACTCCAGAAAGGAAGCAGACAAGCCTGGGACGCCATGTTCTCTGAACACCTTCCCTCTGGGCCAGCCTCAGACAGCGCGTCCTCCCATTTCCTGGCAGATTCCGGCGTTGTTCCAGGAGGGGTCATCCTGTGGATCTCAGCGGCCTCTGGAGCTGGCCGGCTGCACTTCCTGCCTCACTGTCCGGGACGAGTGGACCTTGGAGCCTGGGCGCTCCCAGGATGTCCCGGATGTGGTGGATATCAAGGAGGCACTTCCCGAATCCTCGATTAGTGACATCCTCAGTGACAAGTACATGCCCTCCCCTCTCGCTGGTCTGCTTGCTTGCTCCCCCCTAGCAGGCTTGGGGTGGGGTGAACCTCTGCTCTCGACCCCAGCGGATGTGTCTTCCATGTGGGCTCACTACCTGCTCTTCCCCACACGTTTGTTTGGTGTGATTGTAGGCAAACTTTGTCACAAGCCAGAGGCCCACTCAAACCAAGTCCCTTTTCTGTTGAGTCGATGCCCACTCACAGTCACCCTGCAGGAAAGAGTAGCCCCTTCCCATTGGGTTAGTTTTCCAAGGTTGGATTCTTCGAGGAAGCCAGACTGCTGCCTCGTTCTCCCACAGAGGCCCTGGGTAGGTTTGAACTGCCAGCCATTTGGTTAGCAGCCAAGCGCTTCATCTCTGCATCACCAGGGCTCTTTCCACAGTGAGGGGAAGGAAGGTCTTAGCAAAGAAAAGGAACAAACAAGCCAACAGAAGACACGAGGAACAAAAGCTAAAAATCTAAAGAAAGGCCTTCCTTTAGTGCAAGATGTGGCTAGTTAATGGCTTTAGGAATCACTGCCTGCCTCAGTAAGCTCGTAGGATAGCTTACACTGATGGTCACACACGCACACACTGATGGTCACACACGCACACACGACGTGAACCTGCTACAGTTTGGTTGGTTGGTTAAGGGCTCCAGTTATCAAATTCTGTGGGTTTTGTTTTGAGTCAGATGTCTGCTGCCACCACCTTGTACCCCTATGCCCTGTCTCCTTGACTGTGCCAAAGCCGGGCAGAGCGTGTGAGGTTTTCCAGGGCTGCGGACATGCCTGTGCGTGGGCCTCGTCCCGTCTCCATCCTGAGCGTTGCTACACCTCATTCCTCTGCCCGCCAGCCTCACAGATTCCTTGGTGTCCTTCCCAGCGGAGATTCTGTCACGGACGCTGTGCGCGCCCTTTCCAGCCTCGCTCGGGAGAAAGCCTGGTGAGACGAAACTGTCTTGGATGGGAAGGGGGAGGAGGGGACCCTGTGGCCCTGCCAGCCGAGGCTGACTCTCCCCTCCCGACCCTTCCGCAGGGAGCACGGGCGCTGCGAGAGGCTGTGTGAAACTCACTGTGGCCCTGCAGATGGCCGCCCGCGACTGCCCTCTTCACCTGGCCATCTATATCGAGGAGCCGCACCTGCCGCCCCCGCTCGGCCTCCTGCCAGGGGCGCGGGTCTACTTCAAACAGCTGGAGAAAAGGGTTTCCAGGTGAAGGGCTGCCTCCCCACCGACGCGGTGCCTTTCCCCCCTTTTGATTAGGAGTTAGATGTAGATAATTTAAGAATTGATGGTGGTGAGTACACACCACGGGCAACTCAGCGACAGGAACCGTATTGGCTGCTGGCGCTCTGCCAGGAACCTACCCTATGATACTGCCCACCTTTCACCCCCTCCGTCCCCATGAGATGTCCTAGACCCGATTTTGCAAATTCACCCTTCTTCAGCTTTGACAAAGCCAGGGAGGCCCTGAGGGTGGGGGCCAAGCTATGATGCATGCATGATCTTGGACAGTGCGGCTTCTACCCCAGCCTGACTCCTTTCCTCCTCTTCCCCTCTGCGCCGGCAGATCCCACAATGTTTACTGTCGTTTCCGGGCGTCCACCTACGTTCAGGTCCTCAGCTTTCCCCAGGAGACCACCATCAGGTCGGTGCCCCAGGCCCCAAGTCCACCTTCACCCCCTGGCATCCATACGCCCCTGTCCCTGGAATTTGTGCCCCACATGTAGGCTTCTCCCAACGCCCAGCAGAATGTGTAGAATCAGAAGCACTTCCTCGGCCCTGGGTTAAAATGCCCAGGGCCTGTCATTTTACTGAGAGGCAGAGATTTAGGCCCTGCCGGCTTTTCATTCTGAATATGCACATCTCTCTTCCTCGGCCAGACTGTTGTACTTGGTCGTGCCTGAGAAGTAAGGCTGACTGTCAGAGGTCAGAAACCAAACGTCAGAACCATGGCGTGGGGATGTTAGGGGTTTCCAAGAGGACACTGACCCTCGGGTGGGTTGTCTGCCCCTGCCTCCACACCTCTACCTCCTCCCAGACCCATCCTGTTCTCAGAACCCCGCTGCTGTTCCTTGACACCTGTCTTTCTCTTCAGTACCCCCTTGCCTCACATCTACCTGGCCGAGCTGCTGCAGGGTCGCCAGGCCCCATTCCAGGCCACTGCCTCTTGCCATATTGTTTCTGTCTTCAGCCTTCAGCTCCTCTGGGCATGTGCGTATTGTAACCGCCTCTGCCTCCAGGTATGTGAGGGGACAGGAGACGCTGGGTGCAGGTGCAGGGGGCTGGCTGAGACTGAGAAGGCTTCGCTGACCATTTGGCTTCTCATCCCAGGGAAAGTGTACTCATCAAGGTCCGCCTTGCCCATCGCAGACATCTGTAAGCCAGGCCAGAGTCAGGTGAGAGCACATGGTGGGCCCACCACACCTTTTCCTTCCTCACAGATGCTGTGACTCGCCCTACTTTCTTAGGCTCTTCAGGGAATCGGGCTGTCTTGCTATCCTAGTGCTAGCATAGCTGTAGGAGCCCTGGTCCGGTGGCAGTAACGTGTTGGGCTGCTCACTGTGAGGTCAGCGGTTTGAAAACACCAGCCGCACCTCGGGAGAAAGATGAGGCTTTCTACTCCTGACAGCCTCGGAAAGGGTCACTAAGAGTCGGAATGGACTTGAAGGCAGTGAGTGAGCATAGTGGCTGGCTCATATTCCGAATGAGGGTCAAGGTGAGCGCAGACTGGAAGCAGGGTGGGGAAGCATCGGCGGTCCAGGATCCTGGCCACCGGGGTTTGCTGTGGGCTTCAGGAGCCGTCTGCCTGCCCCGCCCCAGGCTCCTGGTGGAGGATGGGACTGCTGAAGCTGTTGTGACCTGTCGGGATCATCAAGTGGCCCAAGCACTAGGGCTGCAGCCTCCTGAGTGGACTGCCCTCCTCGAGTGGGTCCGAGGCCCAGGGAGAGTGGCCTTGCACTTCACAGGGCCAGGAGCCCAGCTTGAGGTGAGATGTGACTGGGAGGTAGGGGCTCAGAGTCCCACGCTCCATGGGGGTGGTAGAGGGTTTAGAGCTGTGTTTTCCTTTCTAGTCCTCAGCGGGGATCAGTGACCCCCTGACCCACTACCTCTGGACACTCTGTAACAGCCTCTCCGTCCTCCGCCCTGTGAAGCTGTCTTTTGAGCTGCAAAGGAAACCCTCCAAGATCCTTCCATTAGGTAAGGGGCAGGGGGGGTGGGGCTGTGACACCCAGGAAGGAGAGGGACGAGGGAGTGGGAGTTTCTGCAGCTGCCAATGAGAAAGGCAGCCAGGACCCAAACCACATACCCCGAGCATGTGTTTTTCTCTCTCCTCATCTTAGAACCTCCCCGGCTACAGCGCTTCCATTGTGGGGACTCCCCTCTCCTGACTCGCGTGAACCCCAGACTCCAGCTGACGTGCCTCTCAGTTCAGGAGCCAGAGCCCTCTGGCTCTCTGGGGACCTTTGCTTCCACTCCATAGCCTGGCCTGCAGAGATGCCCTGAAAGGTGTCCCTGCCTTACTGGACAACTTAAGAACTGGAGCTTAGCTCTCTCCCGTATTCTGTGATTGAGCCAGGAGCCCAGATCCTTGGATTCACAGCTTGCTGCTACCTGACTGTCAGTTCTTCTTGGTCCCAGCATCCCGGAGCCAATCTGCCTGCCATGTAGGGGAAATTGTAGCAACAGGCAAATCATGGTGCTGTTCATATTTCCTCTGCGGATAGGGTCAAGACACCTGTCCTCACAGGTGGCTCGGAGCTGCTGGGCCCTGCCTTCATGGGAAGGAAACAGAAGACTTGTCCTGGCAGAGGGTGCAGGGTGCCGGACCCTTGACCTACAATAAAACTTTCTAGTGCTCTTGCTGGCTTGTGATCCTTTCTGGGGCCCTCCTTCTCCTGATCCCCTGGCAGCCAGCCCATCCTTCACTCTCATTGTCGCTTGTACTTGTCACCAGCGGCTGAGTCTTTGCAGGGGTTTGGAGGGGAGCTGTCGCCCACCCTGGAAGAGCTTGTGGTCCCTCAGAGGAAATGGTACCAGGAGTCAGGAAGGAACCATGAGGAAGAGCAAATTAGGGAGGGGGCAAGGCAGGAAATGGCTATGAAGGTCCCGAGAAGTTTGAAGACACAGGAGAGTTGTTGGGGATCCATAGATGAGGGAAGGGGGTTGGAGATCAAGTGAGCAAAGGGTGCTCCTACGAGGAGGGACCACCAGGCAAGGGGCAGATGGCTGGTAGATCAACACCACATCTGCAGAAACCAAATCCACTCAAGAGGTTTTAACCAGGTGGCAGCGACGACCATGTTAGGGTGCTCATGCATTTGGCTTGTGGTCAGCCATTTCTTCACGTGGGGTAGCTGAAAAGATAGACACTAAGCCTTTCAGAGCTGCTCAGGGGTCTTCCTTTTGGTCCCTGCGGGTTCAGTTTTAGTTTTGGGGTTTTGGTAGTACCTGCAGGTCCACACAACAAGATTTCCTGGTTGACTATCGGCAACATAATTTGAGGTTACTACATATAGGAAAGCTAGCTCGCGCTGCACTACTGGTGGCCGGTTAGCTCAGTTGGTTAGAGCGTGGTGCTAATAACGCCAAGGTCGCGGGTTCGATCCCCGTACGGGCCAGGCTTGTGTTCGTCTTTTTTTCTTTCATTTCATCTCACGGATAATTGTGTATCCACAGCCAAAATTTCATAGGATACTCGGCTTTCTTACCAACCTAAGTTCCTTGCGCATTTCAAGGCTTGGAGTTGGACGGCTGGGCAGACAGGATGTTGCGAGACCGGTGCGAGAATAGGAAGGATCCGGGATCCGGGATCAGAATTCTAGGAAGGCGGACCGTAGTGGGTCAGGGCTGCGAGCGAAAGCAGATTCTGTGTCTTTCCCGCTTTGGCGTTCCCTCTATTTAAGCTCCCAGCCGAGATCGATGAAGGCTGGCTGGCCCAGCACGGAAAGCGGCGGGGCGAAAGTGACGGGTTTGCAGTGCTTGGAAGCTCGGGAAGGTACAGGCCAGGAGCTGCTTGCAGGACGGGGTAGTCGTGGCCGAGTGGTTAAGGCGATGGACTAGAAATCCATTGGGGTCTCCCCGCGCAGGTTCGAATCCTGCCGACTACGCATCGTTTTTCTGCACTGTTCACAATTCTCGTTGGGCCTGTATTGGCAATCCCCGGAAGTTCCTGGTTTCTGGAGTGTCCGGACAGACAATTCAACTTGAGTCTGCTGCTAACTTCTTTGATGAATTTCTTTTATTTAATTTAATTTATTTTTTTTCTTTTTAAAAGTTTCATTGGCATATAATTCACATACACTACAACTCACTAGTTCAATCCCATCAAGAAGAGTTGTGCAATCATCACCACAGTCGGTTTTAGACCATCTTCTTCATTCTTTTTTTTTTTTAACATATTATTAGGGGCTCATACAACTGTTATCCCAATCCATACACACATCATTTGTGTAAAGCACATTTGTACATCGTTTCTCAAAACATTTTCTCTCCATTTAAACCCCCGACATTAGGTCCTCATTTTTCCCCTCCCTCCCCGCTCCCCCTCCCTCATGAGCCCTGATAGTTTATAAATTGGTATTTTGTCATATCTTGCCCTGATGAATTTCTTTTAGCAATAGGAGATTTTAGTGCATGAATGGATGGACCGAAAACGAAATTTGTCAAATTAGATTTAGAATAGTCTGAGAAAGTTGAAAAGAAGTGGCCAGCCCTGCACGTTCTTCTCCTGTAGGGCAGTTTCCACGAACCCCTTGCCAGCGTTGGCGCCGTGGCTTAGTTGGTTAAAGCGCCTGTCTAGTAAACAGGAGATCCTGGGTTCGAATCCCAGCGGTGCCTTCATCCCGGCCATGGGAGAAGCATTTATTTTGTCACTGCAAGAAGCCACGTCTCAAATTGCGTTTGGACTAGAGTCGCTAGGGTTTCAAATTCTGCACTAAGATCGCCCGGATTTCCCTGGAACTGGGACTGGAGTCCTGGCATGGCTACATTTATGTTGGCCCGAGTGGTCCCGGGCGTCTGCCCCCCAACCCAGGGGTCTTCCTAGGACCTGAAGACGGTAGGTGTTGCTCTTTGGCTTTAGGCGTCTTTCCTGGGGAGGGGGCCATAGGGCTTCCAAGTGCACACCGCAGCACACTCGGAATGAGCTGCCTCTATCAGAGACGTGGGGACAAAATTCCAGGGATCCTGGCGGAATAGGGCCAGGAGCTCGCCCGCTGCACTGAACCAGGCTGGGGAGAGTCGCCGTGCACGCTGGGGATAAGGAGCCGAAAGCTAGGATCCGTGGGCCCTCTGTGTGTCCTAAACTTCCCTCCTCGGGAAGAAAGGCAGGAAGCTGGAGAACCTTTGGAACATGTCTGAGCAAAAGTGTGGGCTTGCGTTAGAATTTCCGTCTCAGGTTGACAGGTCCAACCAGGGATGCAGCAGAGTTGATAACCACATTGGTGGGAAACCTAGGGCTGAACATTGTGCCGCAAATGAGTATTTGTTTTTCACAAAACACGCTCAGGGAAATGCAAGCCGACTCGCTGAGGATGGCGACAGAGAGGGTCTGGGTGCTGTGGGAGTGTGTATGTGTCTGTGGGGTGGGGGTGGGGGGGGGCAAAGGACTTCACATCAGTTTGCAGAACGTAGAGTATGGTCAGGAAAGGTTTTCTGAATGAAGCAAACTAAGTTTAAAGTCTTAAGACCAAGGAAGAAGTTGCCATCTGGTCTATTTAATAACTGCTATATTTAAAGCATTGTTTTGAGTGTCAGGGAAACATCGGGAACAAAACCGAAGAAAATGTCTTTCTTCTGGAGTTTATATTGAGGGAGGGAGGGAGCGGTGATTAATTGATAAACATAACAAAATCAAAATGAAATTACATAGTATGCTAATCCATTGTAGTTAGACAAATAACACAAGGGATCATCAGTGTATGTGTATGTGGCACAGCAAGGGGGGGTTGCCAGGTGGTTGAAGGAGAGGTAGAGGGGAGGGGACAAATTCAAGATTTGTTTATCTTTATTAAGACAAAGAAACCTAGGATTTGATGACTAACTTGATGTGGAGTCTGAAGAAGAGTCAACCCAGGGTTCCCCTTTAATTCTTCTTAAATTCCTGTGTTAGTCTGGGTACTTTAGAGAAACAAATCCACAGAAACTCATGTATAAGAGAGAGTTTTATATAAAGGTCAAGTGCACATCAAGAAAACATCCCAAC